CGGCCGACGGCGGGGGACGGTGCGGCCCCCGGCAGCGGCGGCCGTGACCTGTCGGCCTGGGGCCGCGGCTTCGTCAGCATGCGCTGGGAGCTGGTGGCGGACCCGGTGGCCGGGCGGGAGAAGCGGATGGCGGTGGTGTGCATGGACCGGCGGGTGCAGGCGGAACCCTTCCGCGCCGTGCTGGAGTACCTCTACACCGGGCGGCTGGACCAGGCCCGCGGGGACCTGATGCAGGTGGCCACCATCGCCGAGCTGCTGGAGGTCTTCGACCTGCGCATGATGGTGGCCAACGTGCTCAACAAGGAGAGCTTCATGAACCAGGAGATCACCAAGGCTTTCCATGTCCGTCGTGCCAACCGCATCAAGGAGTGCCTGGGGAAGGGGGTCTTCGCAGGTAGGGGGGTCCCTGGCCGGGGGGGAGGGCAGAGCGAGGGCTGCTCTGGCCAGGGACATCAACCGGCTCCTTCCCCTCCAGCCGGGTGTCCTGGCTCCCACAGTGCCCTGCATGGACCCGGGGCTCCCGGCCACCCCGATCCCCCTCCCTCCACCGAGGCCTCGTCCCTTCACCGTGCCATCCCCAGCACCCAGGTGGCAGTGCCACGTTCCCTGGGCTGGGTCAGCCATAGCTGGTGGGGGGGGCTGCAGGCGGTGCCTGGGGTGCGTGTCCCTGGGCCAGCCGTGTCAGGGGCTGGGGTGGCCGAGGGGTGACTGTCCCTGCACTGAGGCCGTCCCCTTGCCATCCCAGACGTGGTTTTCCGTGTGGATGATGGGGCCGTGCCGGCACACAAGCCCCTGCTCATTGCTGGCTGCGACTGGATGATGGCCATGTTCCGGGGGGCTTTCCGGGAGAGCTACGCTGCTGAGGTGAGGGGCCGTGCGGGGACGAGGACAGTGGGAGGGGTGTCACTGCTGGCTCTGCCATAGGGCTGCTGGGAGGACGGGTGTCTTTTGGCAGCACTGGCTCTGCTGGGGGCTGGGTTGGACCCCCAGCCCTGGCACGCACAAGTCCTGCTTTCCCTCTTGCCAGAGAGAAAGCAGGGGGCTGCGCCCGGGGTGGGGGGGGCTGTGCCGTGGCAGGTGCTGCCGGTGGCCGGGCAGGGTCTGTCCTTTCTGCTGAGCCTGTCCTGCTGCCGGCGGCGGCTCTGCGTGCCGGGGCCCCCCCAGACCCCCTGTCCCACAGGTCTCCCTGCCCGGCACCAACTGTGCCTGCCTGCGTGCCGTCCTTGACTTCCTCTACACCGGCGTCTTCACCCCCACGCCCGACCTGGATGCGATGGAGCTCCTCATCCTCACCAACCGCCTCTGCCTGCCCCGGCTGCAGGCGCTCACAGGTGAGGCCCGGGTGCCCCCGCCCCCCCCCCCCCCCCCCCCACGCCCCCCATGGCCGTCCCCTGCCAATACAATTACGGAACTGCTGGGATGGGGATCGATGTGTCCCCAGTGTGTCATTAATGGGGTCCTTATGTAAGAGCCGGACGAACCTGGCTTAGCCGCGGGGTGCAGCCCGGCTGCTGGGGCGCACGTCCCCAGCGTGTGCAGCCCCCCTCCAGCGCTGACAGCCCCCCTCTCCGCCCCCAGAGCAGTACGCGGTGGACGAGCTGCTGCGAGCCTTCATGCAGCGGGTGGAGATCGACGAGCAGGTCATCATCTACCTGGAGATGACGCAGGTACACGATGGGGCTGCTGCAGCATGAGCCCTGCGGCTTGGCGGGAGGGGGATACAAATCCCCACAGGGCAGGCGGTGGTGGGGTGTGGGCAGCTGCCTGCGGCATCTCGTGCCCCCACTGTGCCCGGCTCAGCCCCATCTCTGCCCGCAGTTCCACAACGCCCGGCAGCTGGCCGCCTGGTGCCTGCACTACATCTGCACCAACTACAACAGCGTCTGCCGCCGCTTCCCCCGGGAGATGAAGTTCATGTCCCCAGGTATGGCGCGGGGGGACGGTCGAGGGCAGGAACACGGTCGGGATGGGGACCGTGCCGTGCCGTGCCCTGACGTGCCGGGGCCGTGCCCCTGCAGAGAACCAGGCGCACTTTGAGCGGCACCGCTGGCCGCCGGTCTGGTACCTGAAGGAGGAGGACCTGTACCTGCGCTCCAAGAAGGAGCGGGAGCGGGAGGAGCAGCTGCAGCGCAAGCAGCACACCCGCAGCAAGTGGTGCTTCTGGCGGCCCTCGCCCCACGTCTCCTGAGCCGAGGGGGGGCACGGCCGGGCTGGGGGCTGCCCGCTCGGACCCTCTCCCCTCTGAGGGCTGGTGTCCCCCCTCCCTGGCCGCTGCCCGTTTACACCCCCCCATCCCGGCTGTTTACAGGCGCTGCTCGCCGTTGCCGCTCGCTGGGTTGTGGCCCGTTCTCCCCGCCGTGCCTTTTCCCGGCACGGGAGCAGGGGCCGGCCATGCCGAGCTGTGCCGTGCTGGCAAGGTCCCCTCCGCCCCGGCCAACGCTGGTGCTACCTCTGACCGAGCAGTATTGTCAGGCTGGGGGCAGGCAGGGAATGGGGGCTCTGTCAGCCTCCTCCTCCTCCTCCCGGGGGGGTCCCCCAGCCCATGCCAGGTGCTCCCCCAGGCAGGGCTCTCCGGTGCTGTATTTTCTCCCCCCCAACCCCCGACAGAGGCGGGGGGGGGCCAAGCTGTGAGCGGGGCAGGAGGGTGGGATGGGCGCGGGGGTCCCTGGGGTCCCTGGGTGCTTGTGTGGCTGTAAGAGCTGCTCCTGCCCGGGGGGGAGGGTGGCCTGGCCCCCCCAGCTCATCTCTGTGCCTTGGACGTGCCCCTGCAGGGCCACGGGCTGTGTCCCTGTGGTGGGGGCCATCGTCCCTGGCCCGGGTGTCCCGGGGTCCCCGGGCTGAACTGCACAACCATTTTTACACTTTTTTACCCCCTGCCCCACGAGCACACCGGCCCTCGGGCCCCCCCACGCCCCGGCTGCCCCAGCACTGTGAGCGGGGCTGCCCACACCTCTCAGCATCGGCTGTTTTAACCTTTAATAAAGCCTTTTGTAACGGGCCTGGACTCAGCTCTTGCCCCCCCACCCACACGCAGGAAGGAGAGACAGAGCAGGGGCTCCATTCAGGTGCATTTATCATGGGTGGGGGGTACACAGCACATGGGGTGGGTGGGGAACAGGAGCGTGGGGTCTTGACCCATAGCTGGGGGAGATACAGCACACAGGGTGGGGTGGGTAGAGCATGGGGGGGACTGACCTCTATCTGAGGGGGTACGGCTCATAGGTGGTGTGTGTTTGGGGGGAAAAAAAGGACTGGGGCACGTCAGGGGGTGTGTGTGTGTGTGTGTCTGTCTGTGCCCCATAGCTGGATTCCTGGCTGCAGCCCTCACCCCAGTGTGGCAGGAGGGGCTGGGGGCTGTGGTGGGGGCCAGGCTCCGGCCGGGAGTTCTACCCTGCCCTGCCCAGGGCTGAGCTCACCCCACAGCACCGGGGCTGGGGCCCTCCGTGCACCCCTGGCCCCACAGGGCCCTGGGAGCGGAGCCGGAGACCGAGCTCATCCCTGGGGCCACGGTCCGCTCCTGTGGCCGGGACAGGAGGGCTGGGGCAGGGCAGCCCCCAGGGGAAGGGGCCGAGTGCTGCAGGGGAGGGGGGGGCTGAGGCAGAGCAGTCTGAGCACAGCATCTGCCCCCCTGCTTCCAGCACAGCCTGGTTGGGGCAAGAGGTAGGGCCAAAGCCAGCTGGGGGGGGTGGGGGGCAAGAACAGGGGGACAGTATGGTGGCTCCGCTGGCGGGGACCCGCGGGACTGTCCCTGGGGTGTCCTGGCAGGGACTGCGGTGCAGCTGCATCTGCCTTTTCCAGCCCAAGAGCACAGCTGCGGCCCCACACATCTGGCCAGCAGCCGCTGGAATGCAAGGTCCCACAGGGACCCACGGGTCCCCACGGCACCCCAGGCAGAAGAGGCTCCTCTCCTCCTCTCAGGTAACCGTGCTGCCCCAGGGAAGGGTGGCCCCACGGGTGCTGCACCCACGAAGCACCACCGCCCTGTCTGGGACCAGCTCCTGAGGCTCTCCCGGCTGGAGCAGCATGTAACACAGGTTTGCCCTGGATCCTCTCCCATCTGAATGAGAGCTGCTGCTGGGAAGAAGGGAGCCGGTTCTGCTCCCAGCCATGCTGCCTCCTTCCCTCTAGGAAGGCTGGGGGGGGCAGGCAGGAGGAGAGCACCTGGCCCAGGGACCCGCTCAGGGTCCTGCGTAGCCAGAGCAGCTCCAAGCCCATGTTCCTTGCGCCTGGACACACCACGCTGAGGGCAGTTTTGCTTTGGGAGCGAGGGGGATCCTGGCTCAGCTCCACCTTCCCACAGATTTCTACCACCCTGCTGGGGGCACAGCCCTGTACCGCCACTGCCCAGGCCCCACAGAGCAGAAGTCGGGGGTCTGTGCTGAACCCCCTTTGCTTACGGTGCCTTGGTGCTGATGCACCGCGGTGCTGGGGTAGCCCAGCTCTCCCTGCGTGGCCCCAGTGCTGCCCTGGACAGACCCCGCAGCTCGCAGCCTACGCCCGGCCATAGCAGTAGATCTCGCTCAGGTCGTAGCCGGTGACGGCGAAGGAGTTTCCCTCGGGGTCACAGAAGCGGGCACCGCAGACCTGGGTGTCAGTCACACACTCAGCATGGCAGTGCTCGATCTGCAGCGGGGAGAAGAGCCGGAACGGTGGCATAGACTGAATAAAGTACAACCCACCACAGATGGCTTGTACCTCCGCCAGTCCAGGACAGGACTGGGGATCACAGCAGGAGGAAAGAGGAGAACTGTGCCACCCCACAGCAGCTCCGACTGGGCCCGGCTGGGTTTCCACTGAGCAGTGAGTCCCTCTCTGTGGCCATGGTGCCTCACCGGAGGCTGCAGGACAGAGCAGCACTTGCGTCGTGACCCCACGGGGCAGCGACAGCTTGGGGTACCGCATACTTGCCGCAGGCTCCGCAGCGAGGGCTGCCACTGCCCAGACTCACCTCGACATTGTCGGTGTCCGGGTTCCTGCTGAGCTTCCAGACGTGAACAAAGGAGTCCTCTGCGCCCGACAGCAGCTGCAAAGGGAGCGGAACAGAGGCCGTGGGGACCAGGAGGCTGCAGGGATGCCACAGAGGTGGCAGTGCTGTGTGCCAGGGCAAGGGAGCAGCCCCTGCCTGGCCATCCACGAGCTGCCACGCTCCAGGCCGGCAGGATGCCAGGGCAGGATGCTGCACACAGGCTGAGGTGCCCCGGTGCAGCCAGCTGTACCTTTCCTGTCTGCGGTGCCAGGTCCAGGGCGTAGATCCATCGAGCGTGAGCGTTGACCTCGGCACGCAGGAGGCCGGTCGCCGCCTCGTACAGCCGAATCTGCCCGTTTCCGTAGCCAGCAGCCACGATCCCGTTCCACAGCTTCACGGAGGCACAGCAGCAGCTGGGCACAGGGGCACATTTCACATCCTCCCTTCCCAGCTGCAGACCCACATGCCAGGGGCTGGTTCCAGGTGTCCCCCTCCTGCCACCCTCCTGTCCCTTGTGTGACACTGAGGCGGCCTGACCAGGGATGCCCGACATCATCCACTGACGGGACCCCGCTGTGTCGCTCCATCCGCCCCTCGGGCTTACCCAAAGGCCGGGATTTTGCTGAGCAGGGTGAACTCCTCTCCCGTGCTCCAGATGCAGAGGGCCCCAGCGTCATCGGCGGTCACCAGGTCACCAGCCCCATCCTATGAAGCCAGAGGCAGGTCAGCCTCTGCCCTGGCACTGCTTGTGGGGCAGCTGGCTCTGCCAGCGGCGGCGAGCAGCTGACTCACACCAGGCAGAAGGTTCTTGCTGCCCCAGTTGCTTGCGCCACTAAAGTTGCTGCAAAGCAAAGCCAGAGCCTGCAGCAGAACAAGCTTAAAGTTTAACAGCTCACAGAAACTGCTGACACATTTTGTGAACAAGTGAGGCTTGGCTGGGATCACTCGTAGGCACTGCAGTTCAAACATGTTTGTGTTTGGCAACGCTAATTATACCCAGGATAAATTTCTAGGAAGAATGACTGCATCCCCTCCTTCTGCACCCGAGTCTCGACACTCTTCACCTTACAGGCACCTGGGATTTCACACACCAGGCTCCATCTCTCCCTCGCTAGGAAGTCTTTAAACAAACGATGGTGCAAAGTCCAAGAGAGGCGCGTTAGAGGACAGTCACCGCAGACAGAGGTAGATGACAGAACAGCTTTTGTGTAAACAAGCTCCATATCCAGGCTAATTGGGAACCAGTTCTAAGCAATTAATTGTTCAGGGGAGTCCCAAATGCAGAGAAAGTTAAATGTAACTAATTAGAGAAAGTATAAGGAAGTGTCCTCATTGGGAAGGAAGCAGCCAATAATGAAGCAGCCAATTAGTGCACCTGCAGAGATGTCAACCGGAGTGAGCTGAATTAAAGAAAGCCCCATCCTGGTCCCAGACTGTGCTCTGTAATCAGGTGAAGTTATCTCATCTGCCACGAGAAAGGTCACTGGTACTGCTGGCAGCTTGGGTCAGCTATCTCCCTCTGCTGATGAGGGGGGAAAGGCTCATCCCTTCAGCTAGCCCGTGGGCATGGCTCTGCCCTTGGCTTCCTCACACCTGCAGGCACCAACCCCTCCCCGGGCCTGGCTTGGGGAGGAGAAGCAGGGTCCTGGTACTGGCATTCAGCACCCTGGGATGGCTCTGGAGACATGGGCAGGACATGTCCCATGCCCTCCTCTCACTGCACTCCCGCAAGGAGGGTCTGCTGTAGTATCTCACTTCTCTGATGGCAGGAGCATAAACTTTAGCATGGGTTAATTCATGGCCAGTTTTTTTGCTCCTTTGCTCTCGTACCACAACTGGCCTTTAGCTGCAACAGCTCTTCTGTCCTCTGGCACTCAGCCCGATGGATCACGGGATACTCTGGGCCAGCAACAAGCTGCGCTCCTGCAGCCACGCTGTGTGTGGGGGGATCAGCTCCTTCACCACCTTTCTTGCCCCTCTCTGCTTCAGCGTCTGCGTTCCCAGAGCCTGGGTGATCAGGACTGAGATTCAGTCAGCTAAGAACATGGAGACCGAGGTGCTAAGAAGGCAGAGACGGGCTGAATGCCGATGGGAACTGGGACAGTGGGATAACTGATGGGGTGGCTGCTCCCAGCTGCCGGGGCAGCAAAGGGAACAGCCCTGAAATACCACAGTGTACGAGTGCAGCGTTTTAAACTACATTTGACTCCTGTTTGCCTTGCCTCGCCTCGAGATGCCACACTAAGCCATGGCAGGATGGCTCACAGGCTCTTTGGAGCAGGGGCTGAGGGAAGTGGCAATCCCAAGCTACCTCCTGCCCGAGGTGTATCCTACCCTGACAGGGGAGACCCCCCTCGTGCAGAGACAGCCAGAAAAGCCAATGTCCCTGGTGAAGGGAGGGATGGCAGAGCCACCCGCTCTCCTGCGCTGTGGAAAGTAGCCAGCTCTGGGGCAGCTCTGCCACATCACAGCCTCCCCAGAGCTTGCCTGCAGCGGGGATTGGGCCGGCCATGGAGAGCACCGGCTCCTGGGGTGAGGGGCTGCACCCTGGGATCAGTTCAGCCATGGCCAGGGCCTGGGTAAACCTCAGCTCCCAGAGCCTGCACCTGCGAGGCATCCCCAAGACAGCTGTGGGGCCGAGGGGACTGCTGGAGTCCCCACCCAACCCCCATCCCAGTGCCAGGGACCCCACCGGCTCCTCTGGTCCAAGCGGCTGCCAACAGCGCACACATACCGGAGCCTGGCCCAACTCTGCCGAGATGTCGGTGATGGCGTCGTGGTGCTGCTCCAGAACCTCGCTCACCGTGATGTTCGTCCCTTTGGGGGGGATGTCAAACACCAGCACCAGCCCAGAGGACGTCCCTGCGGACAGGCCGGAGGAGGCATCAGCGTGGAGTTGTCCCACCCCATCCCGGGACTGAGCCCCCTGCTCTTGCCGTGCCTGCAGCCGGGCTCCTCGCTCCCCCCGAGACCTGCTGCCTCCAAGGGGCTGCTCCCCACAGACGCCGCTCACCAACCTGCCCCTCTGTTCAGCACAGATGCTCCCACAGAGCAGCTCCAAGGGCAACCCAGCCCCTTTGGCTGCACCCCACATCGTTACGCCGTCCCTGGGCCCCAGCGACACCCACCCCCAGCACCACCCTCCCTTCTCGTCCTTCCCCAAACTCCCGGGCTTGGCTCACCCACACAGATGAAGCGTCCGCCAGCTGCAGCGATCCCTCGAGCAAACACTGCTTGTGCTGAAAGGAAACCAAGAGCTGGTCATGACCTGCGGCACCTCCCAGGATTGGGGAGACTGGTGCAGCAGCATGAGGCACCAGGGTGCCTGTTTGAGTTTCATCTTTAAGGCTAGTCCCATAGCTGCCATACTGGAACCCTTCTGAGCCCCTTTCTGGGCACCCGATGGGCCAGGACAGAGTAGTCAGGGTGACACTATGACCTCTTCCAGACCCTTCTGCTAAACTGCTGTGTCAGACTGTCCTGGCTCGATCCCAGACAGGTCCAGGAGCAAGGCTGCAGGGGGTCTCTAGGCCAGGAGGAACTGGGCTGCGCTACAGGTATCATGCACATCTGGGGAAGGAGAGCGTGCAGAGGGACTGGGGGGCTCCTCTCGGCACTCCCACCGCAGGATTTACCTGGAGGATGCTCTGCGACATCCAGCGCGTGCCAATAAACCATGATGGAGCCATCGGACTCGTACATCTGGAGAGAGAGAGTGACAAGGTAAGGCCCAAGAGGGTGGGGAAGTTTCTCTTATGGCTTCAGGCTCAACTGCTGCCCCGAGAGGTCTCCAAGTGAGAGTGGCAGCCCTCTGGGTGCATGGCGGGACCTCCAGAAGGTTCCCCCGCATTCCCAGGAGCCCAGCTGTCCTCACAGCGAGCTCATCCTCCCAGCGTCATGACTTTGCTTCTCGCCCTCCGTGAAAAACCGCCTCACCTGGATCCCTTTCTGAGAAGTCAGCACCAGCAGGACCCGCGACGGCAGGACGCACCACGCGGCCTGGAAGGAAAGGCAGCTCAGCAGGAGTCCAGGGAGGGGGAAGACAGGGCAAAAGCCCTCCCCACCTGCCAGGGCAGGGATGGTCCGCAGTCGCCCAGAGACGGGTGTGTTTCTGGCTCCTGTCAGGGGTTACAGGAGGTGGGTCCCTACCATCCTCGGGGACCTCTCCAAGGTCTCACAAACCTTCTCAGAAGGCTCATTCCCTCTCCCCCTCCCTGTAATTAGGACACTGCAGGCTCCTGCTTCTGTCCTGGCAGTTCTACAGCCACGTGCACTCAGCTGGGAAGGCCCTTTCTTCCCCCTCCATAGCTCCGCTGTTTCCTCCCTGCACTCAGCAGATGGCCCGTTTGGGCCTTGTGGTCAATGGATCCCATCCACCCCAGTTAGAGCAGGCTGGCATTAAAGCGCAGACCTCTGCTAAGGCCAAGGCACCCTACTGAGGTGAGCGTTGTCCTCATTGGGGCACAGAAACTGAAGCAAACACTGAGAAACGATGTCATGGCAAACCCCAGGCACCCTTTGTCACATTGTGCTGTCCCGTTCGGCTCCCACTGGCTCTGGTGAACTTGCCAGCAGCACCGCGCTCCTTCCACCCAGCGCCTACGCTCCGCGCAGCCATCCCTCCCCACCACCTCCTCTGCAATCACATTGGGAGCTGTTTACGGGGTTGTTCCAGCTCCACTTTGGAGGCAGCAGGGCACTGCTTACAGCCCGGGCTATGCAACCTGTTTCCTGTTAGGCTGTTGGGGGAGCAGAGCTGTCTAAACAGCTGCTGCGTGTTGCAGCCCCCTCGGTGAGGGCTCTGCTGGAAGGCCGGCAGCAAGAAGGCAGCAGCTAATGAGGCCAGCAGCTCGCTCACTCTCCCCGAGCTGCACGACCCAGCGTGGAGGACTCCGCGGCCCAAGAAGGGGTGCCTCTACCTGGGTGAGGACGGAGGTGCTGACGGCCATCCCACCCTCCTTCGCCTGCAGCTGGCGGTGGGAGAAGCCGACCCCATCGGCGCTGACCACGCTCAGGCTGGGGCCGTGCACGGCGCTGAAGCAGGCGAGCTGCCGGCCGGGCGGGCGCAGCACGCTGAGGTTGTTGTACAGCGCTGCGCTGCTGCTCTTCAGCTGGATGCTCTTCTCCTTGCGGTACATCCTGCGGGGCGGCACCGGGGCAGCGCCAGGGACACCGGGGCGGCTCCAGGCACACCGGGGCAGCACCGGGGCAGCGCCAGGGACACCGGGGCAGCGCCAGGCACACCGGGGCAGCGCCAGGCACAGCGGGGCGGCGTCAGGGCAGTGCCAGGGACACCGGGGCAGAGCCAGGGACACCGGCCGCGCACCCCCCGCAGCAGCGGCCCAGGCAGGGCCGTCCCTGCCCCGGCGCTCTCCCCG